CAAGGAGCGTGACGTCGCAGCCCACTTCAGGTGCCGACGCGAGCGGCTGTTTGCATGGACCTTGGCATCGCTCGTTTCGATGGTCCGTGGCAGCTGCGAAGCGCTTCATTTTGGAGCTCAACAATGGCTTGTTAACATTGGAAACCTGTCCGCAGAAAGGGGGGCACCTCCCTGACATGGAACCATGGTACCCCCAGAAAGGGGTACCCTCGTTGACGTGGCTACCCCCCCCATTGTTACATGTTGTCGCAGGTACCCCTTTCTGGGGTTTCCATGTTAATGTCCGGTGTAGCAAAGATGGCTCCGCTCGGCCGAGCGGAAAGTGCAATGGGATGGATTGGTCTATTTTCCAGACCCTTTTTTGCCTTATTTGGCACCCATATTTTTTACGCTTGTCATGCCTTGGCATTGGTAAGAAGATTCAGTTCAATAGCGGCTGCCATAGGTGCGGTTTTACGGGGTTTTGGTAAGACCCGTATTAAAAGCAGTGTTGCTGGAACCACAAGTATAGACGGCAGATGCAGCGAGTTGTTGGCGACACCGGGAGCGGATCGGCGAGAAAGTTCAGGCAAACCCGATTGAGGAATGAACCCAAAGAACTCTCTGGTTCGATCTACAACCGGGCGGAAGTAGATGCCACAGTTCGCTCTTCCTTTTGGCATGCTAATGTTTGGTTTTTTCCAATTTGTGGAATCGACATGGGCAACCTGCATCTACTTTCACTTGTCAGTTGTCACCAGTACGGATGCCTGCTTGACCCTGCTGCCTGCTCAAATCGGGCCCTAATTTTGACAAGCCCCGACTTCGTTTGGCCATGGACGGTCGCAGTTTCCATTGCAAGCACGCGCGCTGAGCGGGCGTGATTCACTCGGCGATCATCCACGGCCGTGTCCCGACAGGTTCCCTGGAGCAGTGGCTGTTCATGAACCTGGGGGCCTGTTGTGAAGATCATTGTGCACTTTCAGGTCAAGCATTTGGGCTCTTTAGTGAAAGGCCTGAATCTAAGTGTCTGTAAATTATCATGTTGCTCTCTGGGCGCACGCTGTCAGTGTGACCTAGAGGCAGGCAATGTAGGCTAGTTACATCTTCCTACGCCATAGCCTCGTTGTTCACTTTTTGCAGTTGTTTGTTTCCACTGTAGCTTGTCAAATTCTCAGTGAAGCAAACGCAAGAAGAATGTCACCCTCACGACTACACATGGACTCCCCCTTCTTTTCGTGTTCGTCGAGCGTGCGGAAGCGCACACATGTCGGCTTTGTCTTGGTCTGTGTCTTGCCTGTACTGAAAAAGTTTTGAGGCATGCCTATTCAGGAAGCCCTGGAAACAGGAGTGTCTACGACGCCCATTTGACGCCGTTCTGAAAATTTGACGCCCATTTGACGCCCATTTGACGCCCATTTGAATCCTAGGCCAAACCCATGCTCGCCAAGCACTCCAGCCGGCGTCATTCAGGCCGTCCAGGAAAACAGCGACGCAAGACTCACTTCCAAGTTTCTAGGTTGTCTAATTTGTTTGCCGCCTGATAGTGATCCAAGACAGAAGTTTAAGTTTAAGCTTGTTCAAGCCATAGCATTTGAACCAGGTTGATCCGACGACTGTTGCGGCTCAGAGGAGCCAGCTGAGAAACAATCGCGAATCCCAAGGGTGACGAGTTGTCGCATGTCCTCTTGTCATGCTTGTTGGGAAACAATTTGCATTTTTGGCTTATGGTGGTTTAGTGGGAAATCCCCACTATGCGGCAAAAACATGATTTCTTGCTCCCCTTGCTCCCCTTCCAACGTCAACCAAGTTGTGGAAGCAGCATGAAGCAAGACCCTCGCTTAGCTGACCCCGGTGCTGCAAGGGGAGCTTCAGGGATCCCCTGATTCAGAAAAGGGCCACAGCTCATCTGTCTCGGGGAAACTTTCCCATTCCTTCCAAGGATCCTTCTTTTGAGGAAGCCATCACAAACCTAGCAAACAAATCTGGTTTTGCAAAGAGCGATGCTTGAAAAGAATGGTTGGAATCCACCCCCTAGAATTCTTGCGGCAAAGGCTTACACCCAGCCTCCAGCCACAAGAATGCGCGCAAATCGCAGATCGGCACGCGGTCCTTCAGTGTGACGGCTGCTTCCGAAGTGCAGAGCCGGGACGCCTAGGGGTGCAGCAGACCACTTCTGCGCTTTCCGCAACATGATGCAAACGAAACATCAATTTGCAGTGCAACGTAGTCCATATTTGAGTGAGGAGCATGCCAAGCGGCCCATCTCTCCCAAACCTCATTCCAGGTTTGCAGCTTCAAGCCCACTTTTAATGAAACACTCAAATGTCCTTTGATGGCTCTCGACTTGTGTCATACTGTGGGTGACGAAATTGTGTTTTCCGCTTTGAAACCGTGGGAAACTCTTGTTTGTTGGTATGCGCAGGGGAAATGCCCATTCCAGGATTTCTTAAATCTTAGGTGGCGCAGGATTTCGTCCATGCGCAGTCTTTGTGTCCATTGTTGTGAGACCAATGTGCTCATTTGCTGCATGGTGCATGCAGCCTGAGCATGGCGCCGGGCGCGTGATTTTTGGGACTCGGAGGCGCAGATCTGTGTGACAAGTGCCACATGCACAATGCGCGATGCCGGGACATCTGTTTTCTGCGTTTGTTTGTTTTTTTTTTTTTTTTTTTTTCCGCAGCTTGGCAGGGGCCCACCGGCTGGCAAATTGTGGTTGGGATTCTTCCATTTGCTGAAATGAAGACTGTTGATTTTCCCCTGTTGGTTTTGAAGGGAATCTATCACTACTGGATTTGTTTTTAACTTCTCTCCGGGTTTTAATTCAATGGAAGGATTTGATCCCCAGTTCCCTTCGACGCCAATTGGGAAGGCCCCAACGTCCAAACGGTGTCGGACCTGTGTATGCGTGTTTGTGCCGGTGCTTCTGGGCAAATATTGCCGAGCTCATAATTCTTGTGAGTGAATGTCAGCGATTTACCCAGATGTGCGTCTGTGTACAGAGCCACCTGCGCGTGCCTGCAAATTACGCTCGCTCTTGCGAGCGATGGTTTCGTCTTTACATGGGGCAACCCCCCAAACGAGTGGTTTCGTTTTGGTTTCCCTTTGACATGAAACGTGGCAGTGTCGAAAACAAGGCCACCCCTGCTTTGTTTGACACGGCATGGCAACAGATCAATCTTGGGGCTTCTACGAGCTGGCGGATGAGACTTCGAATGTAAGCCTTTATGATGCTAGTAGAAAAAATGACCCGGTTTGAACAAGAAAGTTGGGAGACAATCCGTGCAAGGAACATCGCCTTGGGGTCAGCCGAGGTGGCACCACTTGGAGCTTGAGCTGCGCGTCTTTGAATGCGGCGTGACCTGCGCACATTTGGGGGCTTGTCTTTTTGTGAGGGCGGCCTTCTCATCCTACAGTAGCCCCGCCTAAAGAGCAACAAGGATGAAACCAAACAAAGCGCCACCGTTAGTCGTTTGACCCACTTTGGTGTTTGGACGAGCTGGCTTGCATGAGAAAATCACGGCACCTAGCCTTGCATCGCTTTCAACGAGGGCAGCACTTCGCATGGCTAGCTATTTGTGTGGGGGGGGGGGCGGGGGGGGGGGTTGGGGGCAGTTCCGGGGTTGGGTGTTGCGTAGGACCACGTCGCCGCGACGTTGGTAGGACTCGCCCGAAGCAACCTTGTATGAGTCGGACCCCCCAAAACCAACAAAAAACAAAGGAAACATGCTAGTCGATACGAATCCGCAGCGAATTCCGATGTTTAGTATAGACCCCCAAATTGAGATTCATGCCCATACTTGTGTGTGTGTGTGTGTGTTTTTAGTTGAGGAACTCTTTTTGGGATGGTTTAAAAGAAAAACCAGAAGAGGAAACCAACCATTTTAGGGGACAACTACTTTGAAAAGCCCAACCCCCCCCCCTTTCACCCGGGTCTTGCGTGCAGGTATGAGGGCGAGATCTCAGCAAGCTGCACCCTAGGAGAGGTGATTTTGAGCAACGCCTGCTACGAGGCGCCCTGCAACGACACTTCCAGGCGGGGTCCGCTTCGGCTTCGTGGACGGAAAAAAACGACCCATGGGACATGCCTTCTGTATTCTCAAGAAAATACTATATATAATACGCTTGTATATACATATAGAACAATATATGTGTTTCCCCCCCCCCCTTCGGTTAAAAGTGGATATATATATATATACGTCTGTTTCGGGGGCAGACTTAGGATACATTTTGCATTTTACCAGTGACTCCATGTGAAGCAAACAATAAGATATACATTCTATAGCTGGGCCTAATTCTAATCATGATGTGTTTTCCCCTGTCGTTTTTCAGTGGATCTATCATCGCTGAACAGCGTTTGCATTTTTTCCTGAAGACTTGAGCGAATGGAGGGGCCGCTGGGTGCAGCTGCGCAAAATTGGTGGAAGAACAGGAAGCCAGGAAGCTTATGGACTTGAGGGGAAACCAACGTGAGGCAAGGTGGTGGGACCAAGGGGAAAACTCCAACCACTTCAAGGCAAGGTTGTGGAATCCCCTTGGGGGGTAAGTCTTTGGGAGGCCCTTTGTGTTGTATGACAGAAGTGGTCGTTTCCCACAGCCCTGACATGAGATGTTTAAACTTGCAACTGGTGGGTGGCCCAACCCTTACCCAGCAAGCGCTTACGGATAAAGCGGCGGTGAATGAGCTCTCTCACGCTTCCCGTGGTGCCTGTCACTTTTCCCCGCCTAGCTTTCTCTGTCCCTCCCTCTCTCCCTCTCTCCCTCCCTCCCTCCCTCCCTCCGTCTCTCTCTCTCTCTCTCTCTCTCTCTCTCTCTCTCTCTCTCTCTCTCTCTCTCTGTCCCTCTCTCTCTCGATATCTCTCTCTCTCTCTCTCGCTCTATCTCTCTTTTTCTCTCTCTCTCTCTCTCTCTCTCTGTCTTTTCCCGTAATTGGTACTTCCTTGTCACTTTCCTTCGTGAATCAAGCCTCGGGTATTGCCATTTCTTGTCGTAGCGCGGCTGCAGGATGATAACGCTCACAGATGGCAACACCATGGCAGTGCAGCTTCCTGGCGTCAAGTGGCAGTTCGTCGATGTGGCTGTGGGTCAAAACCAATGGTACCATTTTGGGGTAGGTGCAGCACCCAGTTTAGTCTATTTTAGTGGGGATTGGGATGTTCACTGGGGTTACGGGTTTTTGACCCATCGCCATGTCAAGCAAAAAGTGGCAGTTTCGAGGGCTACGTGAGGTGGAGCTGGGCTCTGGCAATCCGGCTCTGTTTCACCTCTTCTGGTGGCAAACTGCAGGATCACCTACCCAGAATTTGGGCTTCGATCGGAGACATCCACTCAAAATTGATGGCTACCTTGAGGTTGGGGTACTTGGAACGCAAACTTGAACCGCGTTCGTGATCCTCGCTTCACCCAAGGATCACCGCGTCAGCGCTGGGACTCAGCGATGCGCGAACGTCGGGGACCCGGCTGAGATTTGTCAAACTGATGTGTGCTCGTCAGGAGCCCATGGTGTCTCGCAGAAGGAGTTTCAAGCATGGCAAGCTGCAGAGATCTGCCTTCCAACATCAGGAAGGAAACTCATGCTTTGGCAAGCGAATGTTCGAAAAAACCCAAGGGAAATGCCAAAACTTCTGCTTGTGGCTCATGCGCATCGACCTTTTGACCTTTCGGGTTCTCTGAGCCCTGGCTCTTTTTCTGTGGCGCAAGGTGATGGCCTTTCATTTCTGGGGTCCTTTGGGCAAGTGAGGTCACCCAAGCAAGATGCCAGAACTTCTGGTGAAGGAAATCCGCCTAAATCCTCAACTCTGGGCCTGAGTTATGGGAGCTAGGGGAGGTCGCAGGGATTAGCCTGTTCCGTTTGATGCCATGTTGCATGGTTTTTGAGCCGCCTTGCCGTGGATGGACGGAATCCTGAAAATTTGTGGAAATGTTGGCTCGTTGGCATTTAGAGGAGAATCATCCTTCCAGGGTTTCTTAGTGCAGGATTTTGTCCATCCACAGGTCCAGGAAATGAAGCCTTCAGGCCGAGCCCCTTCTCCAACCCGGATCTCAGCTGTGCTGTGTCTGCCTCAGCCGGCGGATGAGACCCGGTGAAAATGTTTAAAAAGTGAAGATTCCCTATGCGCATAGGGCCATTGAAGAAACCACCAGAAAACAGGAGTTCACCAGAAGAATTGTTCTTTTTTTACCACTTGAAAAACAGTTTTACCTATGGTCATGTATTTTGGGGCCCTGATCAAATGGAATCTTGGATGCGCCCACTGTTCAGCAAGTGAGGTGGATTTCTCCGGGTTCACGCGTAGGCCTTCAACAGCTCCATCGACGGCACCGCAAGCGGGGAGCCAAGTTCGTGGGCCGTAAGCGAAGCTGTTCACTCCAAGCAGAGTGCCCGGAAGGTTTCAGCAGGCCAAGGAGAATCCTCACCGAATTCTGGTGACCAAGTCACCCCCTAGCCAAACTCACCTCCCCCCCCCCCGCCCCAAGTCAGACAGTTGTTTTGGCGAGGCGTGGAGTGCTCCAAAGGTGTACCGGGCCTAGCTTCGGGCCTTCGTTCCCCTTAAAAAACGTGTCAGCGCTTGACGTGGGAGATCAGTCCGGGACCCATGTATCGGGTTCTAATATGGCTGTCGGTCAAAACAGATTTGGTACCATTTTAGGATATTTTAGGTGCACCACCAATTTTTGTCTATGATAGTGGGATGTTCACTTGAGGTGCAGGATTTTGACCCATGGCCATATGAGGGTTCCAGCTTGCACAAGGGGAAAAGCATCTGTGTGTGTGTGTGTGTAGCATCCTAGTGCCCATTCGTTAGAACGCCTTAGGATCGCACACTTCATGAGGTCTGGGCTCATGTTCTGCAACACCAATTGAAGCCCAATCAAAGTGACACAGCAGCCAAGGGCATGGGAACTCCGCGTTGGCACCCACAGAAGCTGCTATTGCCTAGCATTTATGCGCATTTACCCGGAGTCAGTCCAGAGGACAGGTCGTCAGTGAGCAAAAAAGGGCCAGCTCACTGGTCGCAAGCTGACCTTTTGATTTGGTTTTGCGTCCAGGACCGGAAAGGCAAAGCTGATTTGTTCCGACAAGAACAAGCACAATTAGGTGCGAGCGCCCTTCTGAGTTGGTTCTGGTAGTCCCACGTTTTGATTGTGACTTGGCTGTGGGTCAAAACCGTTTTGGGATCCCATTTTGGTTGGTAGGTGCACCACCCATTTTTGTCTATAGTGGTTGGATGGGGATGTTCACTGGGGCGTTTGACCCACGGCCACTTGCGCCCCGAGGAGTACATTTTGAACGCGTCCGGCTGCAGCCCGCGAGGCCATGCCGAGGGTCGTAGAAGCCCAGCGTGTGACGTATGTCCTTTACTCCAGGACCTGAAGCCGCTTCAGGTGGGTGTTGCCTAAAATCGGACCCCAAACTCATGGTTTGTTTGGCCAAACCACCCCAACAAAGGGCTCCGCAAAAAGCGCAGCCCAGCTGTTGGTATCCAGTTCTTTTGCATGGACGCCTTGAGCATTTGCAGCTGTGGCGGGCATATCCGTAACTGAGACTGCTGCGCGGCACGCGCAAAATGGGTCCTTCTCAAAATGTGAGGCCCCCCGACACCCAAAAAAAGAAACGAGAGAGATCATAATTCTCAATAGCTTCCTTCAAAACAAGCTCAAAAAGGGGAAATGCCCTCCCAGAAGGAGATGCAAATCTGAGAGGGCAGAGAAGGATTGCCGACGAGGAGGTCCCACTGCAATGCAATTCAGTCCATGGCTCCGAGCCTTCTTTGAGCTGTTTAGAGGGGCGTAAACTCCTAACATGGAAGTCCCTTGTCTGAAAAGGGTTTGCAGGGGAGAATTTTGTGTTTTGCTCATTTTTTTCTTGGGTGCCCGGGTTCCAGCATCCGGTTGATTTCTTGACTGCTATTGGGTTGGATCTTTAGACTTTAACTTTTTGGTTGAAATCAAGGGGTTTTCCACTAAACCCCCAAAAAGTTAAACTTTCTGCAGGGGGTCAACCGCAACCCAGTCTTTTCGGCAATGAGCAAAAGGGATTCTTTGAGCGAAGTGTCGAGCCCAAAGGTCGGAGCGTGTGCGAGTGTTCAGTGGTACCCTTTTTTGGCATTGAAGTTAGCCAAGGGAATACTGCATGGTGTGTGACAAGAAAGAACAAGGCGACACTCAAATGGCTGCCCCTTGAACCAGCCCCAAAAAGGAGAACAAACAGAACCATGTTGGTGTTCCCCGTCGCTCGCATGTTAAGCTGGCAGGCTGTTCTGGCAGCTTCGTGGCAACGCTGGGCAGCAGGGTCGGGGGCCACAACGGAGCTACGGAATTGCAGGTGGCTTCCGGCAGAGTTGGGCGATTCAGCACATGTCTGGGGTAGACTTTGGATACATTTTGCATTTTACCAGTGACCCAAAGTGAAGCAATCAATCAAATATACATTCTATAACTGGGCCTAACTCTAATCATGATGTTGAATGGTTGAAACAACCTGGTGCCAAAAGGTCTAAGGGGCCATCTGGTCACAAGACCAAAGACCAGCCGAGTCAAAAGTATGAAGCCCAAGAGGGATCACGAAAGGGTCCATGAGTTTTGGTGACCCAGGGTCTGGTTGTTTAGACACTTTCTGGCGAACCATGGTTTGATACAATGGGGATCCACTTCTTTGAGCATGCACAGCCCCAATTACTTGGCTGGTTCTAAAAGTGATAAATGGTTGAATCAGGCAAATGTGGACGAACAAACTATCCGGGGTCAACATGACGACAACTCGGACTTGAAAGCATCAATGCCTGGCGGGGTGGGGGGAGGGGGGGAGCTTATGGACCCTTTCGCGATCCCTCTTTGGCTCGGCTGGTCTTTGTTGGTGTGACCAGACGGCCCTTTACTGTAGACCTTTTGGGGAAGTCTTAGTCGCGCGCACGGGACACAATGTGAGCCTTAGACCGTTTGGAAACAGATGGTTTGTGAACATGCAAAAGGTGATCGAACTTCTTCGCAGGGATTGGGGCAACCCAGTCGACACCCCGCACCTCTGCTTTGCTCAGGAAGTGCGACCTACGCTAGTCCCTGCCTCGGGACATCGGGCTTGCATTTCGAGCACCGCGAGTGGTGTTGTTGCGCTTTTTCTCGAATGGCAAATGCTGGGGCCGAAGTGGTATGATATATCCTCCAAAATGTTGGTTCAAAGGTGAACCTGCAGAAGTAATGTGGCCACCATTGTGGCTTTGCGTGCTTAGGAACGTTCAATAAGGGGATTGCAAGGAACCGCTGTAAAGGAGAAGCAAAAGGGGAACCAAAGGAAAATGGGTGCCCAATGTAAAAGACAAACCCATGGCTGTCACAAAGCCTTTGGCCACCATGTCACAGCCATCCTTGGAGCCCTAGGGCCCCCCAACCAAAATGAAGACTCCGCCTGGGCTGAGTCATGGGATTGGAGCAGTGTGCATTTTGAGTGTGTGTGTGTGTGTGTGTGTGTTTTTTGAGGTACCCTTTTGGAAGGAAATGGTGAGGGTCCCCTATTTCGAGACACCCATGGTTTATGCTGTTCAAAGTTCATAGGCGTTTCGGAGGCAAAAGTAGCAGCCTGAAAGCTCAAGAAGGATGATGTTGGATAACATTGAGAGACGGTTTGTGTATGACATTTCGATCAATGGCACATAAGCAATGAAATATGAGGAGCAAGAAGTGAAGTCAAACGAAGCGCAAACGGCCTGAGGAGCAATCGCTGTCTAGCGGCGGTAGCGCCTCGAGGCCAGACTGTAGAAAGTTGGTGTCCCTTCATTATTAGTCTCATGGGATTTGGGGTCCCCATTTTGGCGCAAAAAATGATGCATGTCGGCTTTCCTGCAGGGTTGTTTCTTTCCTGCCACCCTGAAAGGGTTCCCCAACACAATTTGTGGGGGTCTTTCGGTTCCCTGTGAGGTCTTTTTTTAAAGGCTTTCCTGTCTTTTGGTGTTCGTTTGGTGAACCCTACGGCTTCTTCCTTTGGAAGTTTCTTCCACTTTCCCTTGTGCAAGAATGGAAGGGCACCCCACGGAAGGCCTGATCAGGAATTGCAGGGTTCACCCCCGGCCGAAGGCCAAAAAATATTTGTTGCAAAGGGATTCTTGCGAGAGGATGTCACAATCAAAACCGGGAGAAGTAAAGGTAAGGGACAGTCCCGGGCTTAGGTGCGGCTTCTCTGCGGATTGTGTGAGCCCTGTAAGGTTTTGATTCCGACGCAGATGAAAGCCGTTACGACTTCCCACTCCCTTCCACCAGACCCCTGTACCAGAAAGTGCCAGGTTTTGATTGTGCTTTTCGGTTCTGGGAACTTTACGTTCGCCAGAGCCATTTGGGTATGAGTCGAAACTAACCAGGCCTGCAGGTGTTGGTCATTGTTTCCATTTTCCAGGGCAACCCGTTTTGGGTTCCTATTTGTGACCCACACCCATGTGGCGCTTGTTCGGTTGGTCGAAAGGGAAACCGAAGTTGTCAAACCCATGGCTCCCTTTTTTGGACCCGGCCACGAGGCGCCGTTTTGTGCCAAGGGCATGTGCCAGAAAACAACTGCCGTCCACAAAAACACCACATTGGACATGTCCTAAATTAGGTGCCTGCAACAAAGCATGCTCTTTACATGGTTGTTGTTGGGAAAGGTTTTACATTTTTGCTTATTGTGGTTGAGTGGTTGAAATCCAACCACTTAACTGCTAAAATGTGAAACAAAATGCTCCCCTTCCAACGTCAACCAAGCTCCAGCCCGTTGTTGGGCCCACCAAAAAATAAAGGGGTTTACCACCATTTACAAGGCAATGTTCAGGTGTATGTCAGGATCCCTGTTTTTGACCCCACCCATCAACCCGAGGCTCGAAATTTCCAGCGCCGGGGTCCGAAGTTCCGAAGTCGGAGGACCTGCGCTTCAGTGATGCCTGGCTGGGGCGGCGTCTTCGATCTGCAGTACCGGGCTCAGTGGGGTTTGTGTGCGCGTTCGTTTTGTTGGTGCCCTTTTTGGGGCTCTTTAAAGGGAAGCCAAAAGGGCCTGGGTTGTTTGGGTACTTCTTCTCTTCTTTTTTTTTTCGGGGGGGGGAGGGAAACCAAAAGAAAGCCCTTGCCACGTTGGGTGTCCTTTTTTTAGGGGACTCTAAAATGGTTGGTTCCCTGGCCATTTTTTTAAAGGTCCCCTCCTTTGACACATGCCCAAATCGCAGTTGGCTGGGGCTCAAAATGGGGGTGTTTTTTTAGGGTGTTTTCGGGTTGGGATTGCAGGGTTCGCATATGGGGGGAAGCTGCCCACTCTTTGGGGGCAAGGGGTACCCTCAAACAAAGACAGACCCAGAACTGATGTCTGATGATTGCCCAATGAGTCATGGATTTGTGTTGGAAGGAAATAGTCCTCACTCAACAATGTAACATTTGGGAGAGGTGAGCGTGGCTAGTTGATTTTGTTTTCCCTCGTTCGTCTCGCGGACATGCGGCGCATTTCGGTTCCTACAGTTTTGCCAGGCCAACGTCCCTTCAAAACTCCTTGAAACGATGCGAGACGAGGGCCACCCGTTTTTGCTTGGCAGCTTACTGGCATGGGTTAACGGTTAAGCAGTGACACAAATGATGCGACATGTCGGAGATCACTTGTTCTGGTGTTACGCATGTTGCTTCCCATGCCTGTGTGCCAAGGGGCCCGTGCGCCAAGGGGCTTGCGTTGGCACGAACTGCTGCTCCCTATGGCCCGTGACGTCCGAGGTGCTATTATGGTGCTGTCGTTGGGGATGGCTCAGGACCGGCGTGTGTCCATAGCATGGCTAGAATCAGGGCGCGAGCGACCAGGGAGTATGAAACCAAGGTGTAAGTTTTGAGTTGGCGCCCTATAAGTTTTGCATGGACTTGCAATTTTGCAGCTTGGGCCCCCTGTCGGCTCATCTTGCTGGTGCCATCCCCTGATGTTTTCCTTTATTCGGGAATCCTTAGGTTTCATTTCCTCATTCCCTACCTATCGCAATAGCAAATAACACTTGTGGCATGCAAGACCGCAATTGCGTGCCATTTGCCTGGCCATCTGCAGGCTGCGCCCCAGGCACCTGTGACGCCGGCCTGGGACTTGGATTGGGCCTTTTGGATTCGTGGAGAGCTTCGCTCGAGGGCTCCAAACCTGGACATAGCACAGCGCCATCCAATATTAGTCAAAATGGCTCACACGCAGGCACTGGTAGAAATGAGGAAAAGCCACCCCTGGAGGGTGCTGCTCGGTTTTTCCCCTTGCTCACTTCCTGAGTTCATGAACTTTTAACTATTTGGGGAAGACCATTTTAGTGGTGACTCTAAAGTTTTCTGTGGTTTTTTTGGGGCCATCCACTGGTTTCCCGCGCGCCCTCCGGATGTCGGTGGTCGTTCTCCCAGCGGCCGAGCTTGAGGCCAGATGGCGACGGTGGTGGTGGGCGGTACTGTGGCGGAGGTTGCCATTTTGGCGGCGATGCAGAGCCCGAGCCTCGGTGCCACCGGCCCTCCCCCCTGAAAGTCCCTGCGGTCCTTGGGGTCCTTGGGGCCCCACACGCTGGCGAGGGGGATTTTTCGGGGAGTTCGGGGGCATTGTCGGATTTCCCCCATGGCCTTTGCTGTTTACTTCACGGGAGCGGGTAGAGTCTACGCAAGGCATTTTTGGAGAACGCCTGGCGTTTTGTTGGCCATGGCCTGCTGGTGGATGGGACGAGCAAGTCTTGCGATTTGCATGGCGAGAGCTCACAATCTATTGATCCTTGGGGATTTCCGGTTTTGGCATTCGAGTAGCATTTGCAGATTGGAATGGTGTTTTTGGTTCCAGGTCCGGAGAGGCAAACTTGGATCTCCCCGCGTATCGGAACGTGTCGAGCTGCACCGGGGGTTGGCATCTAGAGGTTGCTTGGTTTTAAATTGACGCCACAAGGAACAACACCGAACACCGTTTTTGGTTAGGGTGCCCCCCATTTGGCTGGCGGTCCCCCGAAGAAAGGTGGTAGTTGTGGTCGTTGTGGTTATGGTGGTTGTGGTCGTTCTGGTTATGGTGGTTGTGGTGGTTGTGGTGGTTGTGGTAGTTGTGGTTGTGGTAGTTGTGGTTGTGGTTGTGGTAAATGCTGCGGTCAACATACCCAAGTCATGAGCCCATCCTTCCACAGGCTTCGCGAATTTGACCCAGAGCTGCTCCTCAGTGGATGCCAGCTACGAGGGCCAATTCAGCGGCTCTGCTGGCGAGGGCGCGTCGATGTTTTGAAGGGATGTCCCGATGTCCCTCTTTTTTTTGCGGGTGGTTCCAAGGGAAACCACAGGACAACCGCCATTGTTCGGGAAGGTCATGAAGCAATAATGAGCTCTTAGGTTTGACAGACACACCCATAGACGTTTAGTTGTTTTTTGTTTGTTTGTTGCGTTTGGAGTTGGATTTGTGACAAGTCCCACAAGGTTTTAGCTTTTAACAAGAGATCAACGAAGCACCAAGTCCTTGGTTTCTCAGGGAGGTGCCTGAAGTCAGCAAGCCACGGTGCTTGGGGTGGCACGGGTCCCAATGCCGTTCTTCTTTCCAGGGATCTGAATCTTTCCGGAAAACCATCAGAACCCCAGGGAAAACAACAGGTTTTTCAGTTCTTGAAAAGAAGGAGCTAGCTAACTAACCAACTGACTAACTAACTGACTAACTGAGTAACTGACTAATTAATTACTGTACATATCTAGCTAAGTAGCTGGCTAGCTAACTAACGAACCAGCTAACTAACCAACAAACTAACCCGCCCGCCCACCCACCCGCGCGCTCGCCCACCTACCATGTTTGAAAAGAGTGGTTGGAATCAACCCCTAGAGTCCTAGAGTTGTTGATGGAACAATACGGGTAAGCCCCCAAAAGAACTGGCGTGATGAGTTCGAACGTCAACTATGAGAAACTGTCTTTCTCACCAGCCGGCACTGCACAGATGTGCAAGATTTGGCTGAAGGCCCAACCATGTTTGTTGGGAAACATTTGCATTTTTGTTTATTGTGGTTGAGTGAAATCCAACCACTTAACTGCTAAACCTTAATTTGTTGCTCCCCTTGCAACGTCCACCAAGCAGCAGTTTGCTTGCTCATTTGCTCCATGACTGGGTTGCAGCCGGCAGGCGTTTTTTTTTTTTTTTTACTCACCGAACACGGATCACTTGAGGCCCGCGCTAGCTTTGATTGGGTAACCATGGGGGGTACTGGCTCGGCTGGCCAGGAAGAGTGCTGTTACTGGCCAAGTGGAATATAACGAGTCCACATGCCGACAGCCTGGGGACCGTTCCAGGGGTTCGGCTGCAAAACTGGTTCCAGCCTGCACTGCGAGTCCAAGAAGCCGTTTCTTGGAAGCCATTTTGGGGCACCCAACCTTTGTGTTTGCGATGTTCAGAGGCCACACTTCGCCTGTATGGTTACGAAGGAGCCCCCTTTCTTCGTGGTTCCGGAGGAAGATTGGCCAACCTTTTTGATCAGCTCAGCCTGCAACTCTCTCAGGCCAAGGGGTACAGATCCATGGGTCCATTTCGGAAACCTGAGTACCTCCATTTGCTGAAGAGTATGCTTTATGTTCTCTTCTTGGTTTTAAAGGGAATCGATTTCACTACTGGAAATATGCTTCTATTTCCAGAGGGCTTAAGCAAGCGAAGAATAGCACCCCCGCGCGCGCGCCAAGGCATCACTTGTGAAGCCTCAGTGCTGTTGACCGACACCAGCGCGTGTCTGCCCATCGCAGTTGCCGGCGCTACGACACAGGCCGGGCCACTTCGGGTGGGTTCATCCGAGCGGAGGTAAATTCGCTTGCCTCGTTTGGTCTGAATGTCTTACATGCATCGCCTCCCTGGAGCGGAAGATCCAAGCTCATTGGCGTTGAAGCGATATAAGATTCTCATGCCAACTTGAATGGGGACACAATGGAGCAAACTGACCCATTTCTGTGAAGTTTTTCTACTCACGATGGCAATGGTGTCAGGGCATGAGCGCAAAGCTAGAGGCACGTCCCTGGTCAATGAGGGAAAGCATTGGCTTTGCTCGGCCTACTGTTTTGCTTTCCCGGCATAGGAAAAGTGTAAGATGAGACGACCTATGCCAGAAAACAAGACCAGCATGGTTGGATGATGTTACATGTGGTTGCCCTGCCAAGGGCTCAGCCGCACCAGCATGTGTGCAACCATGCCTTTTTCCTCTGAGGAGTTTAAGTCTCTTTGGTATATTCAGCTTGCCCTTGGGACATGCACCTTTCAAAGTTTGGCACCATCACCACCAACTGATCTTTGCCCTCTACTAAAAGAGTTTAGCTTTCTCCTACCTCTACCGCCAATTATATTGCCGTTTTCCCCATCAACTGTCACTGTTTGTAGGGGCGGTTGTTTCTGGAAACAGACAGCCTGCAACTTGGCTGGTCTCCAGAAAGTGCCGAAAGCAATCATAATATTTTATTATTTAAAACAACAACAACAACAACAACAACAACAACAACAACAACAACAACAACAACAACAACAACAACAACAACAACAACAACAACAACAACAACAACAACAACAACAACAACAACAACAACAACAACAACAACAACAACAACAACAACAACAACAACAGCAGCAGCAGCAGCAGCAGCAGCAGCAGCAGCAGCAGCAGCAGCAGCAGCAGCAGCAACAACAACAACAACAACAACAAACGGATTTACACACAACACCAGGTAGGTCTACGACACGCAACAAATCTTTTCAGTTCTTTTCGGCTCGGGTGTCCGGCGGCTCGATTTCCGAAAAACGCGCGGTCCGCTGGATTTCCGGAGGCGCGGAAGGTGGTGAGGAGCGCCGTGGCCTTCGCGCTGCCGGAGCTGAACGCCACGCTCTCGGAGATGCAGGCGCGCGGGTGGGGGGGGGGGGGGGTGGGTAGGGGAAGGGGGTGGGGGGTGGTGGCGGGGCGGCGGGGTGCCACGGACATCTAGAGTCCATTTTGGAACCAAGAGCCCTTTAACAGCAACACCCTACAAGAAGGAGGTTGCAAAATAGAATCTAAGTGTCCATCATACGGGCGGGGGAGGGGGGGGGGTGTTGGGGGCGGGGGGGTTCTTGGGGAAACATGGGAGCTCACCACAATGGGAAAACCGGCGGGTTTGTAGGGTGGGTTGAGGTGGGGTTTAGAGGTTCTTGATGACTGGGGTTAGAGGCTGGTTTAGATGATGGTCGCTAGGTCCAAACCACTACAACCATGGAAACCGTACCACCGCTGTACAAAAGTTGGTTCCAATGTACGTATATGTGTGTTTGTGCTTACCCCAAACCACCCCACGTTGCTGGATCTCAGGCGGCCACAATCAAAGCCGATTTGGATATGTGAAGGTTGGTAAGGAACACTGCCGCGCCACACTCCCCTTGCCGCACCTTGCCAGAAGTAAGTGCAGAAGTCCGCACTTGTCATTCTTTACATGGATTCCGGCAGACCTTCGTCGTACCAGGTCTCGTGTGTGACCCAGGGGCTTACCAACACACCATCCTCACGGGTTTTATGCGATACACTTGGATATGCAGCAACTAGAAGCAGCCACTATGAAAAGTACACGTAGCCCGTTTTCTTGGGTAGTGGGAACTCCCTTGGACTGAAGCTTGGGGCACCCTGCTTTTGGCCGAGCTTCTCCAAGGGTGGCCAAGGGAAGCTTCCTGTCTGCGCCAGGCCCAGATGGAAACGACCGCCTCAAAGCGTGCCTACGCTTTGACGCTGGCGGCGACGCTGGGGGCATCAGACCAGGCATGGCATGGCCAAAATGCGCCGCTCAAAGCAGACTTCAAACCGCTCAAAGCCGTGCGCAAGCTGTTTGCCTCACTTCCCGAGTTCATGAACTTTAAACTTTTTGGGAAGACCATTTTAGTGGTAAATATAAAGTTTGGACTTTTTTTTGGGCCATCCACTCGGCAAGTGAGTTGCACTGCCAGGACATCGCAGTTCTTTCAATCCTGGTGTACGACGCCACCGCTCCGTCCCAAGCATTGCGATACTTCCATTTGCTTCAGAATATATTTTTTGAATAACGTATGTGTTTTCCCCTGTTGGTTTTAAAGGGAATCTATCACTACTGAATGTATTTTTATTTCTTTCAAAGGTCTTAGCCAAATGGAAGGATATGTGGAAGCCAGGACACGGCCCATGACATACAACATGTTTGCCCAAGTTGCGAGACTGAGAAGCCTAAGGCACGCAGGCGGTTGGACAGCCGATTCTTGGCAGCTGCCAACGACTCAGATGGTTGGATACCGTGCAAGTGAGTGATGTAAAGGAGCTGGCTGGTTGTTCAGGGTACGTATGGCGGGGTGTTTTTGGAGGTGTCCGCTTCCGGTGCGTCTTCAACTCGAGCTCAAAGGCTACATACAGTTTGCCTGCCGCACAGGGGAAACGTGGTCCAACATCGTGAGCCATCTCGGGGGGCATCCCCAGTTTCCATGTCCTGGGTAACGTGTCCATGGCTGTGGAAAGTAGTGTCTTTTGGTCTTGTTCTGTGATGCCAAGGGAATTTCCCAAGTGCTAAAGTATCACGGGTGGGACGTTCCACAAACATACACATGACAGTATGGCCATGTGTCATCATTTATCCGTCATCCTTGTTGGATTGAAGGGTGCGCCTCAGACAACTTGAGCTCAATTGCCGGTTTTCACGGCTGCAATCTCTCACGAGGTGAGCCGGCCAGGCTTCTTGGGATTGATTTCAAGACCTATGCAAACCTGAATTGACATGTTGGCAGAACAAAAAGTAACAAACTGGTCTCCAGCGGTGCCCTCTTAACCCTTTGACAGTCAACTACCAAAAGCAGGAGGGGAAGTGTTTCCCAAGGGCCACTTGAGGGAACAAGGAGATGGGTGGTGTCGGGTTTCCGCCTGATTTGGGTGGTTCTTTTCAGCAACTCGCCAACGTGGTGTGTTTCTTTTTGACTTTCAAGCCACACAAAAAGGGATACTCTCAAGAAAAGACACGGATATCCACACACCCATTTAGGGCCGCGCCCAGGTAAACAAGATGGAAGTCAGTGTGAACTTTCAGGTGACAACGAAGACTGACCAGGCGGGAAGCGCACGGATGGCAAAAAGTAGCACTTCAAGAGCAAACATGTTTGTCGTAAAATCAGGGGACACCACAAATGGTGTGATTTTCTTCAATAGTTTGTGATTTCGAGAAAGTTCAGTGCCTATGACTCGTTATACTTGTCCTTCGCCTTCAAAGCGAATGGTCCAAATGACGTTGAGACAAGTCGAGGCTGTTCTTCTCGGCGTGTCTGCTTTGAACATAGGCGCCGAAATGCATGAAGTCATCACATGAGGGTTCGGCTTCCGGGTGACCGTGCAAAAAAGAGAACTGGCCATACTTGGGGTGTGTCGCTTTCGGAGTTGGTACCTTTTTGTTTGGTGGTTTGAAGGGAAATCCACAAGGGAAACACATACACACACACACATGTATGACAACCATCGTGCAACAAGCCGACTTCAGCCAATCAGGCGTCTGGTTTTTGGTGGCGGACCTGGGTTCCAAACCCCTCCCCCGCAGTTTCATTTCCCCCTGAGTTGCTGTTCCTCTGCTTCTTTTCGTGAAGATCTGGAGCTTGCATGGAG